ACTTGCAAGGAAGATGATCTGATCACATAGCATTACCAGCTGCTATGAAAATTACTACTGCATTCAACGTTTATGTAAATGTCTCCTTCGAAGCTGCAACTGAGGGTCTTTTTCATTATATGGCACTATTTGAAAAGAGAAGGATTTTCTTTCTCCCAGTCCACAGTTAATCCTTTTTACAGTATATCCTCTAAAGTGCGTTGAGACATCTCAACCAAGCGATAAGGCACTATATCAAATATAAGGATTTTTTTCAGAAGTGAGCCAACATGCTGGGTTCTGCTGCAATGAAGAAAAAACTATTGCTTTGTTCTCTACAGCCTAACATTGTATTTATTTTGCCTGCACAGACAAGCACAGAATTTGTTTTAACTATTGCCAGGTTCCTACTCTAAAAGGATTTGATTTCGCCCATGACCTTTAGGCTCTCTTCCTGCATTCAGCATCTTATTTTAACCGCTGGGAATTTTACTAAGTAAACGCACAACTGTTATGTCATCAAGTGGTTGTATTGTTCAGGTAAAAAGATCAACAAGGTTATTGAGGGTACATTTATATCTAAAAATAGCAGTTTAACTGTAGATTGTGAAATATAAGCCTGTTATTGAGGACTGCCAAGATCAGGAAAGTAAAATTTTGCATTGTGGCAGGACACATCATGGCAACATGGCATGAGTTCATAGGTTAGCCCTGCAAGCCAAAGCTCTAATGGGTTGGATGGTCCAAGTTGGACAAGCAGAGGGAAAGCTTGCCAGATGGGAGTAGTATATTATTTTTCCATTACACTATACTTACCTATATAAAACCAGCAAACATTTCCTAACCTTAAATTTCTACTCCGCTGATGAGCACATAACATATCTAATTTACAGAATGTAGGAACAGGAAGTCCACAGTGATATGCACAAAGGAAATGTGAATAAATTGTCAGCTATTATACATTATGCAGTGTGTATTACTCTCCGATTCACATCAGCAACACACGGAGACTTAGAGTACTCATATTAATGAACCAATCCATTCTAAAGATTAATTTTACTAGATTGATAGTAAAACATTACTTAATATATTTTACCTGACATTCGCTGCATTTTTTCCCATTTGATGGATTTAAATTATTTATACCCTTTAGGTTACGTGATAGCAAATAACTGAATTTTCCATATTTCATTCATAAAATGTTGAGTAGTAATAATAATCCTTGCATTTGATAGTATTAGAGTAGTATTAGATTACAACGCAAATCTCGGCTTCAAAATGGCACACAGGGATGTAAACCAGGCCAAATCCTCTTTATTCCTGTAAAAACAGTTGTCCCATGAACCCTCGGGCAGTGTCAACAGTGCAGTTCCTCCAGTTTATTTAATGTCAGTCTGCCAGTAGCTGGCGATAATCGCTCAATGCGAGATTGTTCTTTTTTGTAGACATGAATTACTTTGTAATCAGAGGCTGATGGAGTTGTATGGAAGGTATTTTACTAGAAAGCTCCACCCCCTCACACACAAGCAACTAACACTCTCTTTCAATAAACTAGGAGTTTTGTCACTTTTAACCAATGTATATATATTTTTGGAAAACTTAGTTGCCTATAAAAATGAACAATGTGGATTATGGCATCAGAGAAGATAGTATTTGCTTGCTATTACATTTGCATAGTTTGCACCATCTGATGAACAAATCTGACAGGAATCAATTGTAAATTAGTGTAAATCAGATATTGGCACCTCTACAATGGCATTAGTTTCTTAGCTTTTTGATGACAGTGACCTGACTGGGGCACATCTATAACATTTTGTAAGAACAATTCACCTTTGTGTTGTATAGCCACTGATACAAAATAGAATCTTTTTATTACACAAAGAAACTAACACTCGCTTCCGAGTGTTAAACAAAGCCTTTATGTACATATTTATTTAGAAAACACTGCATTGTCAGAGGCAATGTTGTTTGGATGAAATGTTAAATCCATTTGTTTGTTTAGGTGGATGTTCACGAACATATACTACAGTTCAGTCCTGTGGAAAATCCTGCTGTTTGGTGATGTGATAAGGTGTTGCATCAAATGAAAGCATTATTTTAAACTAAAATACTATCTGTTTGTTCAGGTGGACATTAAAAATCCATGGTATTATTCGAACATAGAAAAAAGTTTGTCCTTTGGTGTCTTGGCCATCAATCTGCCACAAAAAAAATGATATTTCCTTCATTGTTGTTTATTGGACATTACACTGCACAAGTTAGTTGCTGTGGTTCCCGACACATCCTCTACAGTTTCCTCTTCATTGTTAATATCGCCACTACCCCCATTATAGTATTCTACAGCATTGTCTTCCCATGTGAATAGAAATTAACCATGGGTTAATAATGCAGTTAGCATCTGCACACAATTCTTTTTCAAATATAAGGATCCTTTTCTGTTAATGCATAATGTTAAGGAATGCTCAATATCAAGTATTAATGTCTACAGTGGTTTCATTTCAAAGTCTATTAAAAAGTTAAT